CTAACCGGCCTTCCTAAGAGTTAAGAAGACACCACAGCCAAGTGGAATACAAAAATAGAGCCTCTCTTTTGTTTAAAAAAAAAAACCAACAGCAAACAATTATCAACAACTAGAACCCGGGGCTCCCCAGCTGCTCCCCAGCCTTCAGTGGCGCAGACCTCATCTTGCTTGAGTTTCTCTGTCTGTGCTCCCCCGAGAAATCTCTGTGCTGGGAGCTGCAGGAGGGGCCGGGCAGGCGCCTATCTATCGGGGCTCGGGGGCCCAAGTCCTCTGGCTGCCCCGCAGGCTGCGCGTGAAGGGCGGATAGTTGAGGAACTCGAAGCGCAGGCTCTGCTCGGTGGTGTGGTGGCCGCGGGGCAGCCGCTTCATGAAGTGGACCTCGCGCTGGTGCTGCCGCGTCTTGGAGCCCTTGCGGGGCCGGCCCTTGCGGGTGAAGGCCATGTACCAGCCCTCGTACTTGGCGTTCTGCAGGGCCGTGTAGTTGTTCTCCAGCACGATCTCCGTGAAGACACAATCCTTGCCTTTGCCGTTGCTCTGCAGGTAGGAGTGCCAGACACAGCGTTACTGGGCTCTCTCCGGAGCCCCCCCATCTGAGGCAGAGGGCAGGCGGCCCCAGACAGCAGGTGGGCACCCCAGCAGATGGCAGGGTGGGCAGGAGCTGCAGCCCCACCCCCTGCCTGGGCACCCGCTCTCTAATCCCTCACAACCCGCAGCCCACCCGGCAACTTCCTGTCCTCCTGGGCAGCAGTGACACATGGCTATCTACCGAAAGGGCTGGGCCCCAACACAGAGAGGCAGAGCGGGGGCCCAGACCCTGCCTGCCCTGGCCTCCTGCCCACCAGTCTGGCCTGAGCAGCTAGCACCAGTTTCCCCAGCTGCCCCCCTCAGTCCCTGAGGATTCCAGCTCCAGGGCCCCTGGGCAGCCACCCTATGGGGGAGGGGAGGCCTGCGAGGAGGCGCTGAGCCTCAAGCCCCAGAAGCCCAGCAAGCGGGGAGCTCGAGGCTGGAGAGGAGCCGTGACTAATGGGGCCATTTCAGAGCTCGGCCGAGGGGCTGGGCCTGCGGCTTACTGAACATTCCAAATGCTGGTACCATGTAATTGGACATAATAGCAAAGCAATTTGGCGATTTGTTAAAAAGATATATGGAATTTACCAACCTCCCCCAAGCCCCTTCCCTAGCCTTCCTTCTTCCCTCTTTGCCTTTATAGCTTTTCATCTCTCAAGCAGTTCCCTTCTCCCTCCCTTCTCCCTCCCAAGCATTAGGTAACCCCAAGGTGGCCCTGTGGCCCTCTGCCCACCTTGTTGACATCCTAGAGGAGCTCCGCCAGCCCAGCCACTGCCCAGGCCCCCGGCCCCCTCCTCCCGGACCCCTTCCTCCTGGGGCTTCACCTTGGCAATCAGCTTCCCCTTCTTGTTCATGCAGATGTAGAGACCCGTCTCAGCTCCTCGAACCCGAACCCGGCTCCCAAAGGTATCTGTTTCCACAATGAGCTTTGCTGTCCGGGACAGAGGAAGGAGGTTATTGGAAGCTCTCCGACCCCCACTGACCTATGTCCTCACCCCAACTAACCCACAGACTTGTCACGTCCTAGCAGCACCTGCTCAGAGGCCCAGGCACCCAAGAGGTGGGCTTCAGCCCCCTAGGTAAGATCAAGTCCCCTTGCCGGGTCTCAGGCCCCTCACTTAGGTTTACAGAGGAGGATGGACGAGATCATGGTGTACCAGCTGGGCTCTGCAGAGTGGTTTTGGGGCCATCAAATTAAAAAGAGCCTCTTAAAACCAGACAGTTGCCGAAACCGGTTTGGCTCAGTGGATAGAGCGTCGGCCTGCGGACTGAAAGGTCCCAGGTTCGATTCCGGTGGGTTGCGGGCACATCCCCAGTGGGAGATGTGCAGGAGGCAGCTGATCGATGTCTCTAACTATCTATCTCTCTCCCTTCCTCTCTGTAAAAAATCAATAAAATATTTTTTTAAAAAAAATTAAAAAAAAAACAACCAGACAGTAAATGACTTTTATGTCAAGGTTTCATGACTAGAGTTCTCCTGCTACTCAAAAGATCCAGGAGAATCTTTCCAACTCAAAATATTACGTGCACATGCCTACAGATAATTATATACATCTGGGTGCGGTGGTGACCTCCAGTCCTGAGGCTAAATGTCAAAGCATTCCCTCCTGCTTCTGGCACCTGGGGCTCTAACTCACACCCCTGGCCACCCACCTGTTTCTCTCTCATCGATGTTTCTAACTCTCTATCCCCTTCCCTTCCTCTCTGTAAAAAATCAATAAAATATTTTTTTTAAAAAAATTAAAAAAAAAACAACCAGACAGTAAATGACTTTTATGTCAAGGTTTCATGACTAGAGTTCTCCTGCTACTCAAAAGATCCAGGAGAATCTTTCCAACTCAAAATATTACGTGCACATGCCTACAGATAATTATATACATCTGGGTGCGGTGGTGACCTCCAGTCCTGAGGCTAAATGTCAAAGCATTCCCTCCTGCTTCTGGCACCTGGGGCTCTAACTCACACCCCTGGCCACCCACCCGCCGCCCTTCCCCACTGCTGCTCTGCTGAGGAGGGGATAGGGATGGTGCAGCTCTCCCTAACACAGCCCAGCCAGGACTCAGACACCAGCTTGGAGGGTCCTGCCTCTTCCCCAGGCTTCCCAGGCACGTAAGTCCTCAGCCCCAGTGTCCAGAAAGCAACAACTCATCGGTTTTTCCTCTTTCAACCTCCATCACAGCTCGGCTTCTCACCCCAGTGACCCGCCCTCTCTGTGGGTGTGGAGGGAGAAGACCAGGCACACTTTTCTCCCAGTCTGGAGAGGAAACATGGAGCTGAATTCTATGCCTTCTTCCCCCTCCTCCTTGCCTTCAGGCAGCCAACTTGCCACAGAACCAATTTCTCCCCACTCGCTAGGTAACTCCTCCCTCTGAGGCTGTCCCCAAGGAGGGAGTGAGGGCTGAGTTAGCCCTTTGGGACAGAAGGAGATGGGTGTCCTGCCCTCCCTACCGCAGAGCTCAGCCTCTCCCCTCCTTGAGAAAGCGGTTCTGGGACTCCCAGAGCTGCCTCCCAGCCCTCACTGACAAGGTGGCACCTCCTCTGCCTCTGAAACTACTGGGAAGATGGGCATCAAGGTCAGCAAGACAGCCCTCATCGTCCAGCCTGTGACTACCCACCCCCTTCACATAGGCACAGAGCTGGGACCCAGCAGCCAAGACCTCAGTCTGGCTCCAAGTCAGCCAGGGAAAATGCAGCTGTCACCTCTCCTCCCACCCACCTCCTTTTGGATGCAGCCAGTCTGCTCATCCCTTTCCTGGTCCGTCTTCCTGAGCGAGGAGCGGGTGCTTTTAAGGGCCAGGAAGGACACTGACGGGCGAAGGGCAAGAGAGGACCCCACTCAGAGGACCTTGGCCAAGCGGGGCAGATCGGGATGGAGTAGGCCCCTCGTCACTTCCTGGGGCCATCAGGAAGCAGCTAGGACCTCTCTGCTGCTCTTTTCCAGACGCTTCCTGTCCTGGCTGGACACCCTGGGTCCCTGCTTTGGGGCCCTTCTGCTTCTACTCCTGCTGGGCGAGCAGGGCCCAAGGAGCCTCAGGAGAGAAGCGGGCACCAGCCCCTGATGTTGAAGACGAGTTCTTCCATGGCCAGCGCAGCCTCTTCTTCCCTCCCCAAAACCCAAGGATGCCGGACCATTTGCTCTGATGGAGTAAACCCAGAAGGAGCCAGGCAGGCATTCGTTCCCTTTCCTTGGAAGCTGAGAAGGGCAGCCAGCAGCCACTTTGGAGGGACAAAGGGCCGATTGGCTGGCCCTGCCAGCCCAGCGGGGGAGCTCGGCCACCGTGCAGGCCGCCCCCACCCCCACCGTCCAGAGCCCCCACTCTCCTTCCTGGATGTTTCTGGGGAGCTGGGGCTGCAGTTTACAGCGGCTTTCCCGGCCGGGCTTTTGGAAAGCTTAACATTTTCAAACCTATTCTTCCACCCAGTGACAGATTTATCCCAGGAAAATTATGTCTCCTTCTCCAGCTTTGAAGGGAAGTCAGCTACGTCGACGCAGAAAAAATGCAGCGAGACATACTCGATCCCCCAAACTGGCTCGAGAAGAGGAGAAAGTATTCAGGAAATGTTAAAAAAGGTGAAAGTAAGAAGAGTTTTAATCGCTCTGCCAGACGCGGGGGTCTCTCCAGAGATTCATAGAGAACAATCTTGAACCTCTTTTTTAACATTTACAGACTTGCAACTCTTTTCAAACTCCACATCTGAAAAAGGGCTCGTTCTTTTTCTGTTTTATATCATTCTTCATTTTTCTTCTGAGCTCTTAAAGTGCCTCACCTTTTTATTACATTTTAATAGAGTCTTCCCCTCTCCTTTCATGCTTGTTTAACTTGGTCATTATTTAAAGGTTTTTAAACTCACAATAATCGCGCTCTAAAAACAACACCAGCCGCCCAGAGGGCTTGCTTTTCTCCGGGTACATCAGGACTCTGGAAACTGGCCTTGTTTCCAGGCAGGAATATTGAATGTTTTAGAAATCAATCAGTCCTCAGCCTCTCCCCCGGCAGTAGCTCCCTGTACTCAGCACCCCACAGGGAGCCGGCTCTGACCCACCACCTGGGTTCCTGGGTAAGCGGAGCAGAGAGGGCCCCTTCCCAAGCCTCGTTCCCATGTGTGACTGACCCTTCTGATCACAACATTTAAAGGTTCACAGCAACCCCCCCCCCTCTAGCTGGGAGAGTTGGGGGGACTTCTCTCCCTTCTCTTTCCCACTCTCCTTTTGTGGGCCCTGGCGACATATCCTCTTTCAAGAGCTTCCCTGAAACCTGGCCCCCTCCCCCTGAACCCTCTGCCTCCACCTGCAGCTGGGGAGGGGTGTATGAAAGGGGGAGGTGTAATGGGAAATTCCTGGATTCATTCATCTGCTGGGCAGGGAAGGGGCACCTGTGGGCCAAGTACTCCCCAAGGTCCCTTCCCCAGACCTCTCTTCTCCAGCTGACCCCCAACATGCGTTTTTTGGCCTTAACCCCTTGCCTTCTGAGCTGGGGAGCCTGCAGGCCCCTGGCCCACGCAGTGGGGGCTGGTGGGTGCAGGCCCAGCAGGCCAGCCGGGGGCGGGCATGTTCCGCCAGCTACTGCAGGCTGCACCGCGCAGCCTCCTGACCGAGGGGGTCCCCGCCTTACCGAAGGGGTCCCCGTCCTCCGCCATGGCGTTGATGCGCTTGTTGGCCAGGACCTGCACGTGCTTCCCGCTGGTGCGGCTGTAGAGCTGGTAGGTCCGGATGAGGCGGCGGCTGAGCTGATCCGTCACCAGGCTCTGCTCCCTCACATGCTGTGTAAAATTAGGTGAGGACTGAACAGTTACCTTTAGGAAATTGAAAAATACACAACACGCCATTATAATGCTACTCTGCCCAGGGGCCCAAGTGGCCCCCATCGCCCTGTCCCCCACCCCCCTCCACTGCCCCCGGCAGCCGGCAGGGGCTGGGGGTCCCCCCAACATTCCAGCTCAG